GTCGTCGACAATTCTGCGGCAGGGGGTCCTTCCGCGCTCCCGGTCTTCGGGGCACTTCAGCGGCGGGTCCTGGAGCGAGTGAAGGACCCGCCGCAGAATTGCCGCCGAAAACCGGGAGTGCGGAAGGACCCCCCCCGCCGCCGAATTACCACCCCCCCAAATCCTGCTGTCCTAGGCCACCGCCTAGGTCGCCTAAATGGAAGCGCCGGCCCTGCACTCAGTATCTGGGCCTAAATGTTGTAAGAGGCTAATCACAGGTTGTAAATTTCAGGACACTGACAATAGTTTTAGGCAGGCATTCACTCAATGTTTTCTTGAGCTTTTCTTAACAAGCACCTTGCCCATTGACTTCAGTGGGAATTGAGGATGTTTGGCACCTTGAATGATTGTTCCTTTGAACAGCCGTATATCTGGGGGATTATGTCTGCTCTTTCCTGAAGTAGGAAAAAGTATTTGAGGGTTTGTATATTTTCCTAAATGTACTGATGCCGATCTTTACCTGCAGCTGAGAAGTGCACAGCGCTGGCTTTGTTCCCCCTTGCTCTTGGGCTGGCTGTGAACTGGTCAGCCCCCCACTGTAATTTGGAGGAATCTGAAGATTGGTCTAAATTAAAATAGCTGACAGTATCCCCTATGTGCTGATACAGAAAGCTAGGGTCATTGGGGAGGATGGGGGGGAACCCTAACCTTTCCCTTGGCCACAGCTTCTGTTCTGTCAGTAGGGATGGGATGGCTATTAGGAGCTTGCTCTACATCAAAAGAGCCTCCGATATTGGGATGACTGTCATTCCTGGGTACACTGGCTTTTGGCTGTTTTGCATGTGAATGCACAACTGTTGAACGAAACATTACGAAGTGGAACTCTCCTCGGCAAGCTTGGTTTAAATGTTAAATACACAATTGTACAATAAAGATTTTTCTCTGTCTCCTCTGTTTCAGTTCACATGCATTTTCATACCAAGAGCTGCCCCAAAGAAATGGTAAGGCTTTTAAATGAATCTGAATGCACTGATATTGTCTCGGTGAGCCGCAAAGTATGCCCTTGAATCCCACACACATTTCCATTGAAGTCATTGAGAGCTCTGCCAAGGAATGAGAGTATTATACACCCTCCATAGTGCAATCTTCCTTAAATATTCCAAATTAAACAATTAGCCCTGTTAAAATAAAAACTGTATGGATTTCCCCAGAGCAATGGGTGTAAACTTGATAAAAACAAAATTAAATAAAATATTACATTTTTGGCATCAATTGAAAACATACAGGGCCAAATATTCAAAGGATGCTGCAATGGGAGTGTACACACAGACTAACATCATTGTGTTTTCCCCACAAAACCTTGCATTTGTGCAAATATATCAAGTAATTGCTTTCTCGCCTACAGTTCATGTGTACCTTTATACAACACTGGCATGAAAACCCCCATTTGGGCATGCAAGCTTGGGCAGGCTCCTTCTGTGCACCCTCCTTTGAAAATGTGGTCCAAAGCATGAAGAAACAAGGAGCCCCTTTTAAATGGATGGAAGGTGGATGAATTTACAGCACCACGGGTTAAACCCTGAAGTTCTTTTCCACTGGCGTTTTACCTGAATAAGGGCTGCAGGATTTGTCTCTAAAAGGAAGAAAAAAAAAGATGTATAACAATGGTAAAATTTGCTGGAAAATTGCTTTGTGATGGGCAAAGATGAGCTCAGTGTGTGAGTGCTTTCTGCACCAAACTGAAATATATTCATAAATCAATAGAGCCCTCATAAAGGTGCATTGGCTGTAGGTCCATCTTTGCAAGAGAACATGCAGCATCATGAATCTTAAAGTATCAGTTGTTTTCCATTTATACTCATAAATCTCTTTCTTCTGTAGACCGACGTTATGAGGGTGGTGTGAAGCCAAAACGTAACTTAAAACAAGTAGCAATTACACAGGTATGGAGGTATCAGAAAACTGACTGTAAGTTCTTTCATGGCATAATTAATTGTATTTTAATTATTATTTTCATGAGATAACAATCAACCTTGTCTAATTATTGTGGTACAATACTGATTTCCCACACTCAAGTCAGATATTCCTCGTAATTACTTGATCCTGCTAGTTGCTGATTAGTTCCTGGCAGGTTCTGAGTTGACATCCATTGGAAGTTAATGAGAGTTCAGAGTATTGACACCTATCTAGAGGCACTGAACAGGGGATGAAGGAATTTGCTTGTATGACTTGGTGCTGAATATCAAACTGAGGGTAAAACTGTTGGTTTATAAAATTCAATGGGCCTTTTGCCTAAGGACCATAGGACTTGTCCCAAAGATATGAAAACGCCTATGAAAATAAGGTTTACATGTCAGGAATCCTACAAATGTTGCAATTTAACCTAAGTGAGCTAATGGATAACTGTTCTGCATTATAACAGGGAAGATGGACAGGTTTATCTTTTCCTCGAGATAATGTCATAATAATATAGTAATCAATTATATTTGTTGGTGATTGTTTTGTAAGTTTTCTCCTGGTCTTCTGCAAACATCTACTTGTTTTAAATCACAACACTCAAGCGGTCTTGTGCCATGTGTCAGACCAAGTAGCATGGGAGTCTTTTAGGAGCTGCTAGGAGAGTTGGTATGCTAAACTTACTAGTCAAGACAAGACTTTGTTGCTTAACAGTAGCTATCCAGTCTGATAAAATGGTATGTGTGATTGGGACACACCAGGGCCGGCTCCAGCATTTCTGCCGCCCCAAGCAAAAAAAAAAAAAGTCGCGATTGGCTTCGGCAATTAGGGGGGAGGAAAAAAAAAAAGCCGTGATTGGCGGTGGCAGTTCAGCGGCAGGTCCTTTGCTCCTAGAGGGTGTGAGGGACCTGCTGCCCCCGCATTGCCGCAGGTGCCTCCCCTCTCCCTTGGCTGCCCCAAAGCACCTGCTTGTTAAGCTGGTGCCTGGAGCCGGCCCTGGGACACACAATACTTGTCTCATATGAACAAGACCTAGTGGATAAAGTCTATTCTCAGTTACACAGATGCAGCTCCATGGAAATTCCAGCTATATTATCAGATATAGCAGGTCTGCACACTGGAAAAAATTCTCATTGACTGAAATGTTGAGCAAAAACTAAGAGTTAGAGCTAAATACTGAACTCTTTACTCACTGACATTTTTATTTGTTTATAGGCATTTCCATGGGAGCTTTGCTTGACTGTGAAAGTTGACCATGAGGGTTCAGTATCTTTCTAGTACCTGTAGTCAATGTCCTGACTTCGAGACAAAATGCAACCCTCCCTATTTTAAACATATAGACTAATAATTTTACAAACGAGCCTTAACTCTGACCGTGATCCTATGTAGAAGTTATCTAAAAATGTGCATTTGTTTAAAAACAATATTGGGCCAAATTCTGCTCCCAGTTACACACATGCGGCCTCATTTGCTTCCCTTGTTAAACTGGCTAATATTTGTACAGTACTTTCAGCATGTAGAGCCTGATCCTTGGCCCAAGCTAAATCCCTTTTGCAATGCTCCAGCAGAACAAAGGGGGCTTAAAACTGCTCTAAAGGTGCAGCTGGGAAGTCTCCTGTTATAGGGGAATCCCCTTTCGGTGTACAACTGGTTATGCCAGCTTTGCTACATGCCTTCATGTAGGGGGTGTTCTGTGCTGGGTTGGAGATGGATAGGAGGGGCAGGGGTGGGATTGTACTGTGCCTCAGTGCTCCTGGTCCAGTGCTCCTGGTCCAGTCCCTAGGAGGCTATTACAGTCAATGTAAGTTACATCAGCTCTCTGGCTGTGCTTGTGTGTGCGTGGATCTCTGCCATCCCCAGGATTGGAGGAGATGGAAATGGTGGGTAGAACCATCTTTGTCTCCCCAGCTGAGTAGCACTGAGCATGAGCTCATTGCAGCTGAGGACTGGACCCATTGGGTTCATCCTGTTCGTTATGTGATGTGGAAAGTAGTTCCTGCAATAACAATCTTTTATGTGGTTTATTAGGTGGTCAGTTACAACTTGAGCAGAAAAGGACAATCAGAAAGAGACTCTTGGAGGACATTGCCACACAGCCCTGTGAATGTCACCATTAATGGAAGTCCCTGCATTCTTTTCTGGGCAAGGAGGATAATGATTAAATTTAAAAATCATACACAGCTGGACTTGACAGAGAAGACATTTGGCATACATGCAACCGTGGATGTTGGAGATTCCAACTGCAGTGAAGACAGTGCAATGTAAGACTACATCCTACTCCATGGTGGCGTCAGCCACTGGCGGGGATGCTAATTAATCCTTGGGGAAAAGCCTATTGTAATGTGGGATGGAGCTACAATGCTCCAGTGGCACAATGCCTCCTAAGAATTCCCCCTGTTACACTGGGGGAAAGACTCATATTCTTTAACCCTTTAAGGGGGTGGCTGGCATCCTCTTTCTCGTGTGGCCATCCAGCTCTGCTTGTGGGGGTTGAGTCCTCACCCCATATACTCTGCCCTCTCCCCATGCCCTTTTTGGAAAGTGGCTGGCCAGGGTGGGGAGCTGCCTTGAGTGCAGGGACTGTGATTCTCAGCAGCCTTTATACTGGCTGTGCAGGGGTAGTAGTGGGTGATTATGTAAGGTCTGGCCATAATTCAACCCTTAATCTGTGACATTTACTCACATGGAGTAGTCCCTTAGTCCACACATAGTCCTATTGAAGTCTATTGGATTGCACCATTGTGTAAAATGGTATTCAGCATAAGGGTGGAAGAATCACACCTTTAATAAGCAAAGGCAAGTAAAGCTGTATGTGGCTATATGATGCCACACAGCAGTAATATTACTACTTAGCTGCTATATAGCACTTTCCAGCGGTAGAGCACAAAGCACTTTACAAAGAGTAATTGTCCCAATTTTACAAATGGGAACCAGAGGCACAGAGAGGTGACTTGCGGTCACCCAGCAGGCCAATGGCAGAACAAGGAATTGAATCCACATTTCCTGAGTGCCCTCACCACTGGGCCACGGGAGCTGAAATAATTCAGTTTTCAACAAGTGCCAAATTAATACAGCAAAATCCACGTATGCTGAGTAGAGGATGCATAACTGTGCTGAAAGCCAGTTGCTGTTCTAAATAATCAGAATCTGACTCATGAATGAGCTGTATTGTGGAGGGGAAAGGGAAATGAGGAAGAAATAATGTTAGTTTTCATAATAAAAGAAGTGATACATTTCAAAACAATAAGCCTGTCTGCTAGTGCAGAGCTAGAAACCTCCTAATGTATGTGGAACATTTCAGTAAAGACCGTATCCTACTAGAAAACTGCACAAATGTGAAACGGTTTGAAAGGCAATGCACAGTTTTACAGTTGTACATAGTACTTCAAAAAAAATCAGTGACTTAAAATAATTCACGTGTTCAACATTTTCAAATGGAATCAAAATAGCTGGTCTCACTTTACAGTGACTAAGGAGATAAATACAAAACAAAATCCTGAAACTTTCTATCAATCGTAGGTACTTATACTGCTCCTCTTGCCTTAGTGCCTGGGTGCTGCACAGTTGTTAGTGTATTTATTCTCACAACAAACCTGGATTGTAAGGCCAGTTTAAAGTCATTTGTTGTTATAAAATAAAAATATTTGGGACAATTTACTGGTCAACAAATAAAATAACAATAGGCTACTAGAATAGAGAGCCTTCTGCCTCAGATCTCATGGAAAAACCTGCTGGAAAGGGCCAGGAGATAAACTTTACAAGATTGTATCCTGTTAGCGTTGGCTATTGTCTAAATCAAGAAAAAAAATCACTTTATTCTAGCCAGCATTAGGAGATGTATGTCAAAGCGTTATGTAACCTTTCTGACCAAATCCTTGGAATCTCTGCTGGAGTCCTGCTATATACTAACAGAAAGCCTTTTTGGTCCATGTGCTTCTGTCAGTCTTTAAGTATTAACCCAATTCACTGCATGTGGAAATCCATGCTGTGCAGAGAGGAAAATAGATAATCAGACTCCTGAATCAGTATTAGCCTCACAGGAATTGCCAAATAGAAACCTCAGGCCAGATCTTGAGATGCATTGTTTCCACTTGGTGCTGCTGAGGAGAGCAGGGGAAAGGGTGGAAGCTCCCTTTCTGCTCCTCTGATTTTGGGCCTAAGGGCTGCTCTAAATTCTGCAGGCTGCAGATAAGGCAGAGTTCTTTGTACTCCACCTCATCTCCTCCCATTCTAGCCAGGCTCTTATATCCCTACTTTGTTAAGAGAATCTTCTGATCTGCCTTTAGATCAGCACAAAGCAGCTGGACCTATAACCAAGGATTTGGCTTCTTATATGTCTGGACTTACTATATGTGTAACACAAACACAGAGGTAGATTATTGTATGCACAGAGTCCTGTCCCAGGCACTGAATTTAATGTGAGGTTCAGCAGTGTGGTATAATCAGATCGGCACAATTTATGTCTGATTTTTGGCCTAATTTAAGCAAGTGAGGATCTGAAATCCTCCTTCTTGCTCACTGGACCCAATTTCGGGATAGTGAGTTAAGTGAGCTTTGAAGAAATTAGTTCTGCACTTGAAACCCATCCAGTCTTGAGCCGGTATTAAATTGTCTGACTAATCATGCTTTTAATTTCCCTCCACCTTAAGTTCTAAAGTGATGTAAGTGTATGCATGATAATTCATTATGTAACAATATCTAATCTTAGATATGAAAGTCAATTACACAGATGGTTTCTAAGATGCAAAATGGTATCATTAAATAAAAAATCTGTATGCCACAGAGTAATGAAATGATGGATCTGTTAGCTTGTGAGAAAGTAGAAAGATGGTACTTGGAGCAATATTTACATAATCATACTGATTTTAAGGCTCTATTTTAAAATTGACCTAACAATGCTTCTTACTGTGGTAAGCCACAGCTGTCCTCACTGACTGGACAATAAGCTGGATAGAGCTCTGCTACAATCAACATCTTTAAACTGATTCAGTGATGTTGTATAAATGCAATACTTTGAACTCAGCTATCATATGGATTTCTAATGCTCTAGCAGGGTGTATGAGACAAAGAATGGGTTATATTATTGCATTAATTAAATACCTTTATCTGAGATACCAAGGTGATAGATGCCTTATAAATATATATAGATTTGTGAAGGAACACATATATCTCATCTGACTATGCTTTAGGTACACTGATGTTGAAGTCAATGGGATTTAACTACACGCTTAAAGTTAAGTGCTTTCCTGGTGTGAAATCCAGACCCCTCTCAAGGCAACAGCAAAATCCTCATTGACTTCATTGGGACCAGGATTTCATTCCTGAAATTTTTTCATTGACTGCAGTGGGATTTGAATAAAGCCTCAAAATACTGTCTGTTGTAATCATGTTTTGCTCTTTTGATGAATGTCAGTTTTTTTTCCCTTTAGATTTGCATTTCAACTTGACATTGTTTTCTTTTTGATCTAGGCTTTCACTTAAGTTTGGTGACATGGACAACCTCAAGGGGCTTGTTATTAGGTAGGTTTACAAGATAAGGATAAAGACCCTTATTAGATTATCAAACGATAATATCTACTGAATGACTTGCAATGCAAGTTGTCTGGGAAATTAACTGTGAGAAGGATTATGTATCAGCAAGGGTTGTGAGTCAGATTTGTTAATTATATAGTGAAGTATAAAGCAGACAATTATATTTAATGGAGTTTGCCTATTTAAATACATTTTCTTTTTGTTTTATTTTTTTCCCCCTATTTTTTTTTTTTTTAGATGAGTGGCCTCACTGCTGCACCGCAGGCTCCCCTCATCTAGGTAGGCCTCCTGATGGTCCACTGCTTCTTGTGACTCAGCCCTCCAGCCAGGTCATCTACAGCCCCAACCCTTCCAGAGTATCAGTGTCCAGGGGTGAAAGTAACTTAAAGGACTTACCAGTACGCTGGAGTCCTGAGCAGGGGGCATGGCCTCAACCAGAAGAGGCATAGCTTCAACCGGAAGAGGCATGGCCTTTAAATACCCGGGCCCTGTAAATCAAAATTTAAAGGCTCAGGGGCTCCGTCTATGGCTGGGAGCCCTGGGGCCTTTAAATCATCCCCAGAGCTACCAGCTGCAGAGGTGACTGGGAGCTCCGGGGCGATTTAAAGGGCCCAGGGCTCCAGCTGCCGCTACCGCAGTGGAGCTCCGGGCCCTTTAAATCACAGATGGAGCCCTGTCGCTGCTACCCCAGGGCTCCAGCAGCGGGGCTTGGGCAGCACTTTAAATGGCCCGGGGCTCCGGCTGCTGCGGGGAGCCCTGGGCCCTTTAAATCATTGCCTGAGTCCTGCCGCCGCTACCCTGGGGCTCTGGCAATGGGGCTTGGGTGGCGATTTAAAGGGCCCAGGGCTCCAGCTGCTACAGGGAGCCCCGGGCTCTTTAAATTACCAGCCTGGGGAAGCTGGTCTGATCCGGCATGGCGTAGTGGCTCTTGCTGGTACGCCGTACCGGACCATATCAGCTTACTTTCACCTCAGTCAGTGTCTCCAAAATAGACAGTGTTCAGCAAATCCTACTCATCCATACAATGCCTCCAGCCCCTCCTGGGCTCCTCTTCAATCCTATTCTTCTTTCAGAGTAGCAGGTTTCTCCCCAGTTTACACAGCAGAACTCAAATACCCTCAAACAAAACCAAACACATTAGCTTACTGGTGTCCACCCTGGGCTTGAGCTTTTCATCCAGCTGGCTTCTCCCCAGCTCCCTGTTCCTCTTCCAAACCACTAATCCATAGTGCTATCTCCCTGGAGCCTGGCCTCTATCTCAGAGCTTGCCTACATGTGGTCTGGAAAACTACATTTATGTGGGAGCACAAGCTAGTGGCAATATGATGTTTTCTAATTTACCCATTGCTTGGCTGAGTTAAGTTTTTTAACCAGTGGAATTTCTTCCATCTATTTTTACTTTGTTTTCCTCTGCCAGTTTGCCTCTTATCGGTCATCTACCTGGGCAGCATGTGATCTGTAACAGCAGGGAGGGAAGCAGAATGGATGATATTCTTCTAGTGCTGTTCCATAATTAGGCAGTCAGAAGATGCTCAGGATTTTTGTGACTCCCTTGTTCAGCCTGGGACCAGTCCTGTGTGACCAATGATCTTCTTCAGCTGCAGCAAGAAGGAATCAAAAATTATTTTCCAGACTCAGGTCTCCCATATAGCAGCAGAAAGAGCCAGATCCTTCTGTAGTGTAAATTGGCATAGATCTGTCGACTTCAATGAATCCTGTATGGCTGTTCTACATGCTGGATTCAACAGTATATGCCCTCACTTTTGCAACTTTACTAATTCTCTCTTTTTTAAAAATTATTTTCAGATTTTTATTGACAAACAGTTATTACAAGCTGTCTGTTCAGAACTGGTTTAGTTTATACAGAATACAGCTGCTTTACAACCATTCTGTGCAAGCAACATTTAACACAACCAGAATATATGCTCCAGCAAGTTATTCCTATCACTGTGAACATGTGAGCAGCTTGCAGAGGTATGATGCACTCCTGATGCCCAGCTCCGCAAACGATGTGTCCAGGCTCTGGGAAGTCACTTTTATCGATTTCCAGGTAATAAGATGAAGTTAAGCCAAGAAAATGTCACAGGTGTGCTGACTGGCACCTCTAGGCCTTGGTGCCAAGAAAGCAATGACATACTATAAGCAGTTTATAGGATCTCCAGAGATGGATCAAGGAGTAAAATTGAACAGAAAAGAAGATTTAAAGTCTTGTACTTAACTTCATGTTAAGGGAGATGAAGGGCTGCACTGGTTTGGTATCTAATTTCTTCTTAGGGATATACGTCAGCACAACACATAGGAGTGTCACCTTCTGCTCTACATCTCTGTACCTTTGTTGACAAATGATTCTTTGTATATTTGGCAATTGGGCTCTTAAGACCAGCTTCAGTAGAGCCTTCATTGAGCACTGTCAGCAAGAGCCCAGTTGTCTTTGCATAGGGCCTGCAGCTCCAGCTGACCGTCAGTCAGCTGGGAAAGAAAGTTAAGTGTTCCATAGCCCAACATTCTGTGAATAGATCACACCTGGGTCCGTTTCTGAGGTCAGTCAAGGCGGATTTTTTACAACAGTCATTGACCTCATCTCCTTATCTTTAGGGGGGGTTAGAGGCCAGAATTAGGGGAGATAGAGGCCAAGGCTAACAGCTCACCCAGGAATGGACCCTTCAGTTAGGGAGGAGCAAAATAAATAAATAGAGGATGGGTAAGAGGAGGAAGATGAGGGTAGCTACAAAAGAGGGGAAAGTCTTTAAAACTCCAGAGCAATCTGAGACAGGCAGCCAATCCCATCCGTCTTCTCAATGCACGACTGCACAGCAGATTTACTTCATCCTAGAGTTAAAGTAACTCTCACTTGTTTGCAGCCATAGGTGAAATTTATAGTCTGTGGGCCAAATTCAGACCAGATGTGAATGCAAAACTGCTTATTTCAGTGGAGTTGCATCCACATACACAAGGACTGAATCTGGTCCCACAATCTAATTATTAGAGGTAGGCAACTGTCAGTGTTTTCTTGGTCATTTTTTGGATACCTGTGTACATGTTTGTATAATCAGAAACAGGGAAACTATTGATTCCTTCAAAACAAAGTAAACCAGAGTGATCAAGCTTATAGTTAAATTTGACTTGGCTCTCAAAAGTGATCACCAAAGATTTTGTTTAAAATCAAACTGCAAATCCTTTGGGCCCCAAAGCCAAGGGAATTAGAATTACTGACTGTTTCTAAAACATTGACCTGAATAAACTGAGTGAATCAAATCCAGCCAGTGCTGCTAGATTCATTTTTTTTATATGCAAACATTGGCTTAAAAATTCTTACTTAGCAGAAGGAGCAAAATCATGAACTGTCCTCTAACCGAGAAAGTGAGGATTTTTAATATAAATCCTTTTACTCTCTTAACAGATTCAAGGCTTTAACGTAGAAGGAGGACAGTTTGCTTATGCCAAAGATTGTGCATCCTTTTTTTCACCAGCAATTCTGATGGGCTTGATTATGTCACTGATTCTGCTTCTAGTCCTGGCCTATGCTCTCCATATGTTGATCCACCTGAAGTCTCTTGATAGGCATTATGAAAGCAAAGCCTCTCCTGCCTATTTTGCACAAATGAAAGACCGTGACATGGCAGATGAAAAAGAACCACTGAGAAGCAATGGAAATGAGTCCTATGAACTTAGAAGTCAACAGTTTTGTAAAGTCTATATTTAGAAGAGTGTGTCTCATTCAGGCTATTGGTATTTTCTTTTTGTCTCATTCAGGCTATTGGTATTTTCTTTTTGCTATTCTATGCTGTTTAGTTGTACAGTAGCTAAAAGTGTTCAAATGATTTATTTGATCAAAGAATAAATAAATATATCAGACTGCTTGTTTAGCCATTCTCTGGCTTATTGCTTGAGACCCAGTTAAAAGATGTCTTGGAAATCAAAACAATAGAAAAATCTCCCATGGGAGTGAGGAAATGAATGTGGTGAGAGTCTACTCTCATATTACCAAAACAATTTGTTACAGCCACCTTACAAACACTGAACAGAGGAATTGGTAACAGAACCTTAGGGTTAAATAAAGATATTTAATAATATTAAAATTAATAATATAATATATCTCCTAGCTCATCTCCTCAAAGGCTGAGACTTTTCCTTACACTGTATTTTTTATTGGTCTATTCAGTCTGTATTAAGTGTCCCTGGCAAAACAGCTTCCATCCTTTCCTTAGAAAGTATATGCAACAGTATAAATAGACTCCACCCATTAGAAGTCTTTGCAGATTCTCATCTTAAGTTTTCCTTGTCTTAATTTTATTCAGTTATTCCTAGTTTTATTCCCCTTGTGCCATCATAAAAATCCTTCTCCTCCTTGTTTATACTCCCCACTTACATAAAGACCATTTTAATATCATCTGCCACCCCAGTGAAATGGTGATGGATCTTTGGAACTGTGGCATCTCAAATGTTTTTCTATGTTTTGGCATGAGACTTAATTTGTTAAGGTGCTGGTGGAGCTGTAGACATCTGGCCATAGGCTTTCCCATACTTCACCTGCTGAGCTTTATGCCAAAAGAGAGAGAATGGGGTTTTACACACTTTAATTCTAGGCTAATTTCTTTACAACTAAATCCTGTCAGTCTCCCATACAAGACAGAAGTCACAGCTACATGGTGGTTCTACACCTGAAAATACATATAAAGTAAGTTGGCTGGAAGCCACCCAGCAGTGCAAGGGGTATTTAGAAAAAAGACATAATTTTCACTTCTCCCTCCTGTGGGAGATTAAAGTTTCATCTTGTCAACAATTCTATCAATTGACATTGCCAGGGTTAGAGGACCCAAAATCAGTCTTAATTTTGCTCTTGCTCTCAGCAAGAAGGAAGGTGATAATGAGCTACCCATGTTGCTATTGGGCCAAAGCCAATCCTGAAAGAATATTTTGGCAAATCTTTTGCAAACCCAGATTTAGTAACCAACTCTCTTTTTAATTTTAGAGAAAACAAACAACCACTAGATAAAGCAGTTTCTTCTAACCACAAAACCAGACAATACCAGCCAGAGATGAAACCCTACCCAGCCAATGCTCCTGGACTCACAAATGCCAATTCTTATGATGCCTCTCACTACAATAGGATTGGTAAATAGATGGGCCTCACAGCATGCTTTGGAGGTCAATAGATTAGGATTGTTTTGGAACTAAGGTGGGGAGGAAGTTCCAAAATTGAGGACTCCCCAAGGAAAATGCCCTAGCTAGCCATCTCCTTCACTCTTAAAACCACTGGGGCTCCAGCGAGACTACATCAGCCACACCAAGGGAAAGGCAGTCCCTCAAGTGGACAAAACCCCTAAACGGTTTGGGGTTTATGTTAATAATAGCGTTTTGTGGAGCTGTGTTCAAGTGCACATTACAGGGAAGGATCCATTTGGTCTCAGTGCCCTGTTCTGTATTAAAAGAGGGTCACTGGTAAAAAGTGTCCTTATGAGCCACTTTTCATTAACAAAATCAACCTTAGATCTTCTGTCTTGGGTTCCAGATGACTACCTTGCTTTGTTTAGATTCAACATCATATGCGGTGTAAGGAGAATAGACTTATTATGGGGAACTGGTCAGCCTTTAAGATGACTGCTCATATCCTCCACCCCAAGCCCTCAAAGGTTCTGGAACCTATGCTACTTGTTAAAAGAAATAATACAGAAGTCAACTTTCCTTCAAAAACCATTAGCACTCCTATTTGAGCAACAGTTATTGGAGGACTATAGAGCAGTTCTATGGACCACCATTAGGTGGGTCACAGTGTTCCTTCTTATATTTACCCTGGGGACTCCTTAGGTTCTGAACCCTAATGTCTGGGAAAGAAACATCTAAAAACACAGATTTCCAATTCCTCTGCCGTACACTGGCAGTGTAGGAGGGTATCGTACTTGAGTGCTGACCGTCGCTTCAGATTCTTTACTTTTCTTTCATGAGCCTGATAAGAGCTGTAAGGCATCTCTTGATTTTTGCTATTGTTTTACCTACAGTTTTTCTCTCAGGATTTAGGTGACCTACCACAATTGCCTGCACTATCGGATTGCAGTCCCTTAAAGAAGTCCTGTTTAAAAAGCAAATTTTCATGGTTGGTTTGGTTTTTAAAAGGTATACATTTCAAGTTTCTAGGGTTGCCAATTTTGGTTGGATGTATTCCTGGAGGTTTTATCACATGACATGATCTTTAATTAAAGATTAATCTTTAATTCCTGGAGATACCAGGACAACCTAGGAGAGTTGGCAACCCCAATTTCAACAGTATTAGTGCGGGTTTGGCATACTCTGCTCAAAGCTCTGTCTAATCTCACAAAGCTGTCCTTTTGTGAGAAACAAGAGGCCACATCTTCAGGAGATGTAAAATGGCAAAGCTCCCAACTACCTTTAAAGTGACTCTTCTCACTTTGCAAAGGTGCAGATAGCTCCTTAAAAACACGTCACTCTGAATTGCACAGAGCCACTCATCACTTTTTCTGGGTCTTGTGCTTCACTGACTGGGTGTTATCTTGGAGTATCCTACAGGAGAATGGGGTGTGTGGAGTTCTTGTGAACCATCTTGATTTGGTAATTTGAATTCATCTCTCTTAATTAACACTGTGGTTATTTTACTAGTTTACCTGAAGACTTTGATTATTTTTTTTCCATACACAACAGGGAGTGATTCCGATCTCTCTGTCTGTCCATCTTTGTCAAGATTTTGTACAGCACCCATTGTTGTAATAACTAAGGATAGAGAAGGGGTCACTTCATCCACCAGTAAAATGTAGCCACCTCTGCCTTGCAATGTAGCAGCTGTTCAACACAAAGCAAAGCAATAATCAGTGATGACTATCATTGTCCTTTAGAACAGAAAGGGAATTTCCAGTAGCAGAATGTAATTTCCAAGTAGGAAATTGGCCATGATGCTCAGGTGAATCCCACTATTCTTGTGAAAAGTACCATTGGATCCCAATATCTGTAACTGGTCAGGACTCTGGTTTTACATCATTTGTAAACCTCCAGCAGCACTAAACCCATGCTGAGACTTTGATTCAATAGTGACTGAGAGGGGGAAAAAGTTCACCTATCAGCATCATTCTGTGACATCTGAGGATGCCATGGAAGTCTCACTTCTCAATACCATCCCACAGGTCAATAACAGCTTAAACAGTTGAAGAGATATTACAGCAATTCATCATTGCCAGCAACCAGCTGGTATCAGCATTAGAGAAGTTACTGCCAGGAGAGAGTGCAGGGCAAAACAGAACCCATCCATTCACAATTACCTGGGATAGAATTTTAGGATGACAGGTTTCAGAGTAGCAGCCGTGTTAGTCTAAGAAGTGGGCTGTAGTCCACGAAAGCTTATGCTCTAATAAATTTGTTAGTCTCTAAGGTGCCACAAGTACTCCTGTTCTTCTTTAATTTTAGGATGGAAATTCATGGCACAGTTGAGAATTAAGTGTAGAAACAGAACTTGTAGGGGCCTTGTGTGCTATCGGCATCTAAACCAACATGACCTCCTCCCAAGTGGTCAGCATTCAAGATTCCCCAAAAGCCTGGCGCACTGGGAATTCAACCCTTCCAGGTGCTGTCGCCTGTGAAGCCCTGATTCCCCTCACACTGCCACTGACTTAGGGTTGCCACTTGGCCGTTTTTTGTTTAGCTTTGCTGGTTGCCGGTAAAAAGATTTACTGTGCCATTTTTTCTGCCACTTGGGATCAGTGTTCACTGTAAGCTGTGCACATATGTGGCTATGCAATGATTTTGTTACTACTGTACACATCACACGGATGAGAGCATGGCCAGCACCTGGGGCCTGCTCTGCAGGCCGGGCCCTCATCCTTCTGCAACCATGAGGCTTCTCTTGGTGCAGAAGACTGGGAAGTGGGACAGACTCCCATTGGCAGGGATAAGGAGCGGGGTGGGAGAGGCAGGGACTCCTGGGAGGGGACAATTGAGGGGGGTCCCCAAGGGAGGAGGCTGCTTGGAGGGTGCCTGGGTGTAGAGGCTCCTGGTGGAAAGTTAGCGATAGTTGGCACCAGGACCCTTTTTGTTGGGAGAGAGGGACCAGTTTGTGTGCATCTTTTAGCAGTGACTTTTAGCAGTGACGGTGATTAACCACCGAAACAAACTACCACAGGAAGTGGTCTATGCTCCATCTCTTGAGGTCTTCACGTCAAGACTAGGTCTCTTTGTAGAAGATATGCTTTAGCCAAATACAACTTGTTGGGCTCAATATAGGGGTAACTGGGTGAAATTCTATGGCTTGTGCTACACAGGAGGTCAGGGTAGGTGGCCTTGTGGCCTTGAAAATCTCTGAATTATTTTTAGATTTGAAATGCTGAGCTCTTTGGAGCAAAGATCACCCTTTGCTCTGTGTTTGTGCAGCGCCTAGTACAATGCAGACCAATTCTGACTGGGATCTCGAGGTGCTACTATAATACAAATAATGAATAATAATTCAAACACCCACCTCAAATTACTTGCAATAAATGATTACCTCCTGTCAGCAGTATTCTTTTATCACATTACTGTTAGTAATACAGTTGCTCCTAGAGGCCCCAACTTATATCGAGGCCTCTTTGTTCTAGGTGCTGTATAAACAGAGTAGGAGACAGTCCCTGCCCCAAAGTGCTTACAATGTAAATAGATCAGATGGAAGATGGGAGAGAAAATAGAAACAGATGTGAAGCCCAAGAGCCTATACTACGTCTCCTGAATCTCAGTCTAATGCCCTATCCACTGATTGAACAGATGAAATATGTATATGTAATTACACAAAAATTAATGCTCTGCAAATGTCACTTAAGATCCAGATTGATAACTCTGGCCTCAGTATGATCTAGGCTTCCTTCTTAAGTTCTGCATAAGTTTT